CCTGCTTGTTTTCTGGAACCATTTGCTTGAAAGACAGTTTTCCAGCCCTTTACTCTGAGGTAGTGTTTATCTTTGTTGCATAGATGTGTTTCTTGGATTCAACAGAATGATGGATCCTGTTTCTGCAACCATTCTGTTAGTCTGTGTCTTTTTATTGGGAAGTTGAATCCGTTGTTGTTGATAGAAACTAGTGACCAATAATTGTTACTTACTTTAGATGTGGGGTTGGTGGTGTCACTGAGTTTCACTGCTTGTATTTTTTTTTTTTTTTGTGTAGTTATCTATTTTCTCTGTTTCCTTAGATATAATTGTTTTCTTTGGTTTGGAGTTTCCCTTCTAGTAACTTCTGTAGAGCTTGGTTACTATGTAGATATTTTTTAAATTTGTTTTTGTCTTGGAATATTTTGAATTCTCCATCTATGTTGATTGAAAGTTTTGTTGGGTATAGTAGTCTGGGTTGGAATCTGTGGTCCCTTAAGGACTGTATGATTTCTGTCCAGGCCCTTCTGGCTTTCACAGTTTCTGTTGAGAAATCTGGTGTGATTCTGATATGTCTACCTTCATATGTTACATGGCCTTTTTCCCTTGCTGCTTTTAGAATTTTTTCTTTGTTCTGTAGGTTCAGTGTTTTGACTCTGATGTGACGTGAAGAATTTCTTTTCTGGTCTAGTCTACTTGGTGTTCTCGAGGCCTCCTGTATGTTTATGGCCATCTCCTTCTTTAAGTTGGGGAAGTTTTCTTCTATGATTTTCTTGAAAGTATTTTCCGGACCTTTGAGCCTGATGTCTTCTTTTTCTTCTACTCCTATTATTCTTAGGTTTTTTTCTTTTCATGGTGTCCTTGATTTCTTGGATGTTTTGTGTTTGGAACTTTTCTGATTTTATTTTTTCTTTGAGAGACATGTCAATTTCCGCAAGTGTATCTTCGGCTCCTGAGATTCTTTCTTCCATCTCTTATATTCTGTTGGTGATGCTTACCTTTGTAGTTCCTGATCTTTTCTCTATGTTCTCCAGCTCCTGGTTTTTCTCTATTTGTGTTTTCTTTATTGATTCTAATTCTGTTTTCATGTCTTGCACCATTTCCTTCATCTGTTTGAATGTGGACTCCTGCTTTTCAATGATAGCTTCTATTTTTTTGTCCGTTTCCTCTCTATGTATCACTAATTGTGCCTCTACTTCTTTGGGTATAATTGCCTGTATTTCTATGAGAGCTTTGTTTATTTCTTCTTTATTTGCCTTCATTTGTGTGGACATTTTTTTGAGAGCTTTCTGCATTTCTTCTCTGTTTGCCTCAATTTTCGTGGTCATTTCTCTGAGAGCACGATTTGTTTCCTCTTGGTTAGTCTTGATTTCTTTGGCTATTTCTCTGAGGGCTTTGTTCATTTCATCTTTATGGGCCTCTAATAGCTGGAGAAACATAGTTTTGAGGTCGTTTTCTTGTATATCTAGTGAATTGAAGTGTCCATTGTTTTGTGGGGTTGCTGGTGAGGTCATTATGTCCTGATTTTTGTTGGGAGTGTTCTTACATCTGCCTCTAGCCATCTGGTTATTTATAATCCTCACTGGTTGTTCCTCGAGATTGTAGTTTGGGCTAGGATCCTCTCTTTCTGTTTTCTGGACTATTTTTTCAGGAAGATGAGAGAGGTTCATTGGTTTGGGAGTGTGCACTGTGGTTTCAGTTTTGCCTAAGTAAGGAATGTGACGCTGGCGCTATTTGCGTGCGCTTTTAGTGGGCGCAGTGTTCATGCGCGGATTCTCTGACTATTGCAGTGGCCTGCAAGCCACTATTACGCAGTTCTGACTGAGATCCAGGGATTGTTTGCCTGGATTACACTGGTGGACCCACAAGGCAGAGGCTTTAATGTTGGGGTCGCTATCCCAAGAATCCCTATGATGCCCACACTAGGGGTGTGGGTGGCAGGGATCTCGTCTGGTTGCTTCTGTGGAGAGGCCCTGGGTCTGGGGCTAAATCTCCCTAGAAGGCTCACTCACTCTCTTGCAGGACCAGTTGGAATACATAGGGGTTCCCCTTGTTCACTACTCTCTGATTTGGTCCTGCCGCAGAAAATGCACGGGTAGGCTAACAGTCAGCTCTGTGACACTGTGGCCGCAGGACTAGGTGTCCACCTTTCCTGTGTGCTGCCTCTTTGTCCTTTCCCTCTGCCAGGATGGGTTATGTTGACTGATCCCGGGGTGGTGCAGGAAAGAGTTAGGTTGAGTGTTCTCAATCCCAGATCCTGCGTCCAGATCTCTCTTCCAGAAGCAGCCTGGTGGTAGAATCTATGTTTGCTGATCCCGCTAGAGCAAGCTTATGGTGGTGCTCTCAGGGGAGTGCCAGCAGGGGTTGGGGCTTCTCTGTTCGATCCTGAGCCGGGGTTTCTCTGCCAGGGGTCGGGGGGTCGCCGGTGATAGAACTTGCTGCTAGACCTTATTGCGCTGGACCCAGGAAAATCTCAGGACATGTTGAATGAGCACAGTCCCAGATCCCGAGCTTTAATTTGTGTGCTAGGAGCAGCAGGCAGCACTGGAGTTCCGGCACTGTGAAGCTGCTGTACGCCTCTTTATCCTTCTGCTCAGCTGCGGCAGGGTTATGGCAGCGTTTGGAGGAGTGCCGAAAGGATTGGGTTTTCTCAGCCCAGATCTTGGGTTGGGGTACAGACAATGTGGTCTGTGGCAGATTCTGCTGGCTGCCTCCTGCCTCCTCTGAAGAGGGAGTAGGGATTTTGAGCTGGGCTCGCAGATGCTCTTCATACGTGCACGGCGGGAGCTCAGTTGTGATGGCGGCGGGTACCCGCGGTCAGCGAGACCTTCCAGGGAAAGACTGGGTGACCCGTGATCAGACTCGCAACTTTCTTTCCCCATGGGTTTTTTTTGCGACTGGGACTCACAGTCTCTGGCACCCTTGTGCCCGCCAATCAGCCTGGGAAAGTGATCGGGGCATGCAGGCTTGCGGCACCAGCCCTGATACCCAAAGCCCGGGTTAGCCGGGTTCTCTTCCGGGTTCTGTCTGGCTGGGCAGCCGAGAGTGGACTCGACTATACTGCCCAGAGTTCAGTCTCCTGGTCACTGCACGGAGTGTGTTGTCCCGCTTCTCAGACATAGTGTTCTCCCGGTGCCACCATCTTGGCCCTCTCTAGGCATCATCTTTAATTTCTTCTTCTCAATGAATGTTTTGAGGAGCACTTCTGTTAGTTCTTCCCTAAGGTTCTGAAAGAATTTAATGATACACTTGTTTGCTCTGCATTTTTTTATAAGTTAGGAAACTCTTAGTGCTTTAATTTCGCTGATTGTAGTGTATTTGTTGGAATTATACACCTCTGACTTTCCCTGGCTTTTAGTGGAAAAGATTTTTTTTTGCTTGCTAAAATGTTGGGTTCAAGTCTGTCACATATAGTCTTTACTGTCATGAAGTATGTTTCTTCTGTTCCCAGTTTTCAGTGTTTTTATCATTGTACTGGTTACTGGTTCATGGGTTTTTGTTTTTTTGTCATTTTGATACAAACTGGGTTTATTTCTAGAACTAACCTCAGCATTTTGGTTAAAGGAGCAAACGGTTTTGCACAAAGAATATATAAGAAATTTAGCTTTGTAGTAAATTAATGTTAACCATAAAATGAATTAAGAAATACATGTTTCAGACTATTGCTTACTGTGTGTCAAATTCTGAGATACTAAGTACAAATATGAAGCTTTGAAATAAAAACAGTGAGGTCTAGAAGATGAGAATATAAATCTTTATTCCTTTTGTATAAAAAGAATGTTGCAACTCTTTATATAGTTTAAATGAATAAGATGAATAAATTAGATTAAATTGAAATAGTACTTCACAGGGAATAATTAATTGTAAATTAAAATTGTAGATTTCCTCCTTCTTCTAGCCTATTAATTTGTATCTTCAGTGCATGTGAAAGATTATCATATTAAGAGTATTGATCATTTTGCTTAGAAAATACATTAGTTCAAAACCACACATAATTAAGTTAAAGTATTAGCTAATATGTTTTATGTATTGATAATAAAGTGTTAACAAATAGTGGTATATAATTGAACACATACACTCTAATTGTATAATATTGAGATTACAATGTACTGATTGTGACATTGAAAAGTAATTGATTCTACAAGGTGAGTCCAGGACAGCCAAGGCTACACAGAGAAACCCTGTCTCAAAAACAAAACAAAACAAAACAAAAAAAGTAATTGATACCTAAATATGTTGACTTCAGTTAATATTTATCCTAATATATTTAGTTACTTTTATTTTTAAAAATTATAGTATAAATACATATTCCACTCTCCATTTACTCATTCTAAAATCTCCCATATACCCCTACTTGTTCTTTTTCAAATTCATGACCTCATTTATTTAAATAATTGTTGTTACATGCATGTATGTGTATGAGCATACACATACTCCTAAATATGTAAATACAACTTGCTCAGTGTATTCAGTGTTACTTGTATGTGTCTTTTCAGGGTTGATCATTTGTTATTGGATAGCCAATCAATGTGCTCTTCCCTAGAAATTACTATTTCTCTGGCTCTCAGCATCCCTTAGTTGCTTGTAGTTCTCAGTGTATGGTTGAGGCCTCATGATCTCTTCCCTGTGCACACTCATGTGTCTGTCATTTTTGCCCTTGTTCAGCTCATGTGTAGGCAGCAAATCTTGGCGAGACCTTATGGTTATAGCTTCTTACATCACTAGGAGACACAGTCTCATAACAAACACCCTTTATATACTTAAATAATGTATACAGACCTATTATATTTAACTAGAAGCTTTATAATCAGCTGTTTCTGTTGTATGATTAATTGGATTTAAGGTTTTTTTTTACTTCTATATTCTCTGTAAAAAGTTTTGTTTTTGAAGATTTGTCTACTTTTATTAGTGGAGCAATATTGCCAAGAATCATTGCAAGTTTTTCTAGGGTTATTTACATTGATAAAATAAGTAGTGTACTCTTTTACCTCTTTGTTTAACTGTGCCTTGTTGAAATTCAGGTTGGTGGAATTTCTGATGAACTACCTGACTTGACCAATCGTAATGCTGCTTTCTTGTCAAGAACAGAAAGGGTGGTATTCGCACCAGGCACGGTAAGAAGACTCTTATAGTCAAACCTACTTGTAGTTTTAGAATTGGAGCAGATTGTACAATATATGAACTATACTAGGGACATAAATAAGGATCTCTATAACCTACTCTATTGATTTACACTAGCTTAATATACCCATATTTAGCAAAAGTACACATGGCTGTTAGAGACATGTTTCATGGAATTGTAGTCAGAACATTATTAATAGCACATACATGGAAACTGACCTTAGTATACTGAATTTGAATAGGCTTACTTTAGATTATATTTAATTTACTTGTAATGTATTTTCCCTTTATAATTGAATTCAGTTTGAAATCTAAGCCTCACCACTGATTCTTTAGTTCCATAGCCTGCATTTTAAACTGTGTTGATTGGAATTTTTTCAACAATTACCAATTTTATAAATAGCTCATATTGGGTAAATGGAAGAAGTAAAGCAAATAAAACTTAGAAATGAAGTTCACTGTTTATTCAGATTGAGTTTATTAAATTTTCAAAATAGAATAGTAAAAAGTTAGATCATTTGATATCATTGCTATGTCTGAGTGTTTGTGTGTGCGTGAATTCATATGCTGACATCTGAGCCCCAAAAATTATAGCATTAGATACATCATGAGACAGGAGCTCCTTAGTCCTTCTAGGATATTAAACCCAAGAGAAGCTGTCATTTGTGAAGAAGCAAGCCCATGCCAGCTGCAGAATCTGTTTGTTTCTTGATCTTACAAGGCTTATAGTATTTTATTGCACTGCAAACTAAGATGGTGGCTACAATGTATGCGTGTAAGGTATCATCCAAATACTGTAGAAATTAGATCATCTTCATTCATTCATTCACATTTCATCCAGATCAGAGATTCTCCTCCCTCTTATCTTCCCAGTTCCTTTTCTCTGACCTTCTCCCACACCCTCCCTTTCTCCTCAGATTAGAGGAGACCTCCCGTGGTGTCAACCCACCGTGGCATATCAAGTTGTAGTGGGACTGAGTGCATCCTCTTCTATTGAGGCTATACAAGACAGCCCAGATAAAGGAATGAGATCCAAAGGCAGGCAACAGAGTTAGAGACAGCCTTGGCTCCTGCTGTTAGAGGTCCCACATGAGGACCAAACTGCAACTCTGTTACATATGTGTAGGAGGCTTAGTCCATCCCATGCAAAGCTGTCTGGTTGTGGTTAAGTCTCTGTGATCCCCTATTGGCCTGGCTGCTTGATTGTGCAGGTTTTTTTTTTTTTTTGCAGTGTCATTGACTTCTTTGCCTCCTTCAATTTTTCCTCCCCCCTTCCACAAGGTTCCCCAAGCTATGAGCTCCATCTAATGTTTGGTTGGGGTTTTCTGCGTCTGTTTTCATCAGCTGCTGGGTGAATCCTCCCAGATGACCGTTAACACTAGCCTTCTGTCTGCAAGTGTAGCAGAATATCATTAATAATGTCCAGGGCTGGCTCTCTCTCATGGCATGGGCCCGTCATTAGTTGGCCATTCTCTCAATTTCAGGTCCCTCTTTATCCCTGCACATCTTACAGGCAGGAAAAATTGTGGATCAAAAGTTTTGTGGCTGGATTGGTGTCCACATCCCTCTGTTGGTAGTGTTGCCTTGTTACAGGAGATAGCCTTTTCAGGTTCGTATCTCCTGTTGCTAGGAGTTCTAGCTCATAGATTCTAGGGAGTTGCCGTTGTCCTAGGTTTCTAGCTTATCCCAGAAATGCCCGAGCCCCTACTGATTCCTGTTCTCTTTCTCAGGTTTCTCTTCCTCTGTTATCCCACTTGCTTCCTCTTCCATCCAGTGCCCTCACTCTATCTACCCCTGATGTGATGTCTATTTTATTTCCCCTTCTCAGTGAGATTCAAGCATCCTCCCTTGGGCCCTCCCAGTTACTTAGCTTCTTTGGGTCTGCGATTGTAGCATGGTTATCCTGTACTTTATGGCTAATATTTACTTATAACTGAGTACATGCAATGTTTGTTTTTCTGGGTCTGGGCTACCTCACTCAGGATCTTTTCTCGTTCTATCCATTTGCCTGCAAATTTCATGATCTCATGTTTTTAATAACTGAGTATTCCATTGTGTAAATGTACCATATTTTCTTTATCCATTCTTTGGTTGAGGGACATCTAGGCTGTTTTCATTTTTCGGCTGCTACAAATAAAGTTGCTATGAACATAGATGGGAAAGTGTCCTGGTGGTATGGTGGAACATTTTTTGGGTATTTTCCCAGGAGTGGTTTGGCTGGATCTTGAGGTAGGACTATTTATAAATTTCTGAGAAACCACCAAATTGATTTTCAAAGTGTTTGTACAAGTTTGCACGCTCACCAGCAATGAGGAGTGTTCCCCTTGCTCCACATCCTCACCATGATGTGAGCATGAGCTGTTGTATTGGTGTGCTTTTAAAAACTCTGTTCTTTACATTTCCTATCTATCTTTCTCCCTACTCCACCCCAATCCCTTTCATCATTCCAACAGCAGGTAGGAGAGAGAAAGGGTTAGTGGGAGAGGGACACAGTTCTCTTAGCTGCTTCCTGCTGGTTAGGGTCATCGGGTTCCTTGGAGCCAGTCCAGTCCTTGTCTCAGGAGATCTCCACTTCTTGTCTCACTGCAGCAACAGAAGACGAAGTGGGGAAACAGCAGCAGCCTTGTTCTTTCTTGGAGCTTCCCAACATTCTCTGGGCTCTGCAATTTATTCTTTCTCCAGAGTCCTCAGATTTAAACTATTTACAACTGGCAAAGAGCTCCTCCCAGAGCCCACACAAGGCAAATAGTTTGCTGTTGTGGACCATTTGAATCCGTCCCACATCCCACACCTGGATTAAAACAAAAACATGTTTGTATCCACGACACTGTTGCTTAATTTTTCCCCGATTTTTAAATTTTCTTATTTTATTCTGTGGAACCACCAATGTTTTTTATAGATATATTTTTAATTTTTATATTAATGACATCTTATTCACTTTGTATCCCAGCCGTAGCCCCATCTCTCATTCTCTCCCAATCCCTCCCTCCCTCATCTTTTCCCATGCCCCTCTCCAAGTCCACTGATAGGGGAAGTCCTCCTCCCCTTCCATCTGACCCGAGATTATCAGGTCTCATTAGGACTGGGTGCATTGTCCTCCTTTGTGGCCTGGTAAGTCTGCACCCCCCTCAGGAGGAGGTGATCAAAAAGCCAGCCACTGAGTTCATGTCAGAGACAGTCCCTGTTTTCATTACTAGGAAACCCATTGGAGACTGAGCTGCCATAGGCTACATCTGAGCAGGGGTTCTAGGTTATAACCATGAATGGTCCTTGATTGGAGTATCAGTCTCAGAAAACACCCTGTGCCCAGATATTTTGGTTCTGTTGCTCTCCTTGTGGAGCTCCTGTCCTCTCCAGGTCTTATTATCTCCCCTTCTTTCATAAAATTCCCTGCACTCTGCTCAAAGTTTTGTTATGAGTCTCAGCATCTGCTTTGATACACTGCTGGGTAGAGTCTTTCAGAGGCCCTATGTGGTAGGCTCCTGTCCTGTTTCCTGTTTTCTCCTTCTTCCAATGTCCATCCTGTTTTTCTAGCCATTCTGATGGATGTAAGTAGGAATCTCAGAGTCATTTTGATTTGCATTTTTCTGATTAATAAGGATGTTGAACATTTTTTCTTTTTTAATTTTAATTTTTATTAATTAGACTTTATTTACTTTGTAGCCCCCCATAAGCCCCTCCCTTCCCCCTCCCAGTCCCACCATCCCTCCCCTTTCTCCAAGCATGCCCCTCCTCAAGTCCACTGATAGGGGAAGTCCTCCTCTCCTTCCTTCTGATCCTAGTCTATCGGGTCTCATCAAGAGTGGCTGCATTGTCTTCCTCTATGGCCTGGTAAGGCAGCTCCCTCCTCAGGGGGAGGTGATCAAAGAGCAGGCCAATCAGTTCATGTCAGACTAAGGATGTTGAACATTTTTTAAGTGCTTCTTGACCACTAGAGATTCCTCTATGGGATCATTTCTGTTTAGCTCTGTACCCCATTTTTTGATTATTTAAAATATATTTTTTCTTTTTTAAAAAATTTAATTAATTAAATTTACTTATTCACTTTATATTCCAAAGGCAGCCTAGCTCTCTTCCTGGTCCCATCCTCCCACCCTATTTCCCTTTTCCCCACTCTCTTTCTTGGGAAAGGGAAGCTCCCTACTACCAACCCACCCCGGCATATCCAGGACTAAGCACATTCTCTTCCACTGAGGCCAGACAAGGCAGTCTAGCTAAGGGAAAGTGAGCTAAAAGCAGGAAACAAAGTCCATGTCAGACTTGACCTGTGCTCCACTTGTTAGGGGCCCCATATGAAGACCAAGCTGCTCATCAGTTACATATTTGTTGGGGGCCTAGATCCAGTCCATGCATGTTCTTTGGTTGGTGCTTCAGTCTCTGTAAGCCCCCATAGCCTTAGATTAGTTGACTCTGTTGGTCTTCTTGTGGAATTCTTGTTCCCTATGGGTCCTTCTGTCTTCCTGGCAACTCTATCACAAGACTTGCTGAACTCCTCCTAATGTTTGGCAGTGGGTCTCAGCATCTGTTTCTATCTGCTGCTGGATGGAGCTTCTCAGAGGACAGTTATGCTGGGCTCCTCGATGATCATATGTTTTCTTTCTTTCAGATTATATATGGTGGATTACATTGATGTATTTTCCAATGTTAAACCATCCCTACATCCATGTGATGAAGCCTATTTGACCATGGTGGATGATGTTTTTGATGTGTTCTTAGATTCAGGTTGTGAGTATTTTATTGAGTATGTTTGCATCAATGTTCATAAGGGAAGTTGGTCTTTGTTGAGTATTTTTTTTTTTGGTTTCAGTATCAGGGTGACTGTGCCCTTATAGAATGTTCCTTTGTTTTTATTTTGTGAAATAGTTTGAGGACCATTGGTGTTATCTCTTCTGTAAAAGTCTGGTAGAATTCTGCATTAACACCATCTCATCCTAGGCTCTTTTTGGATGGGAGACTGTTAATGATTGCTTCTATTTCTTTCGGGGATTTATGT